CAAGAAGAAGAAGAAGAAGAAGAAGAAGAAGAAGAAGAAGAAGAAGAAGAAGAAGAAGAAGAAGAAGAAACAAAACGAGTTACATGTCCTTGCTTCAGAAATGCTGATAGAGACGGAAATACAATCGGAATTTTCAAGTTATAGTACGAGTGTGAGGGTATTTACAGCACAGGAGTGTCATAAAAGTACCGGAGATTGACGATGTTACTACTAGAGAGTAAAGAACCAAAGAATAAAAACGAAAGAAAAGAGGAGAGACAATGACAATACATGACTTTTGTAGATGTTTCGCTACTTCCGAATTACAAAGTTCAATCTGACATTTTTGCCCGTTTTGAGTTACTAAGACCATGAAGTGGGTGGTTGGCAGGCGATCTGGTGTGGTTTGCTCCTTCTTTCCTATCAAGCATCTATCGTCCTTATCTCCCCTTCTTCTTTTTTATGTTTGTTACTCTCTTGTAACACCTCTAATCTCCTGGCGCTCATATGACCTTATGTAGTTGCGAGCGCCGTAAAACCTCTACTAAAACAAACATAAGACCATGAAGTCCGAAACCAAATGTTCTACCTACTCTATCAAACTCGTAAGATTATTCGGAGTCTTGATCGATACGACATATTCAAAGAATTGCATTCAGAAAAAAGCTTGATATGTTGCGAAACTCCAATTAATCTTTACCGTCAAATTTCTCAAAACTAGGTACTGTACAGAGAGATCTTTGTGATCCTGAGCTAGCGGCTTGAGAGACAAGAAGGAACAAACCACATAAGAGCACCTGTCAACCACTCACTTGAAAGTTTTTTTTTGAATCAGGCGCTCGTCAGTTTTTGTGTGGACATTTAGAGTTATTGGTATCGTTCTAAAGCTTGTTCTGTTTTAGTTTTAGTTTTAGTTTTAGTAGAGGTTTTACGGTGCTCGCAACTGCATAAGGTCATATGAGCAGAAAAAGATTAGAGGTGTTACAAGAGAGTAACAAACATAAAAAAGAAAAAGGGAAGATAAGGATGATAGATATGATAGGAAAGGAGCAAACCACACCAGAGCACCCGCCAACCGCCCGCAAAGTTTGTTCATTTATCGTCTACCTTTCGATGAAAAAATACTCATCTATCTCGAATAGAGGTCAAGATATTTGTGATTTAAGGAGTTTGGTTCGCCTGGTGGTCTTGAAGATCTAGCTCTCACTGACAACACTGAAGGCAAACGAGGCAGGGGTAGGCCCAGGGCAACTTACATGGAAAGTTTAAACAGATCATGACCAAGTTCAACAATCAGGTAGAAACAGGTGTGTGTGTGTGTGTGTGT